CTATAACATATTACGCAGGATGTTAAAGGTTGTCAGCAGGGTAAGCAACGTGCCACTTAACCAGCTTGTTAATATTCTGGTCGACAGGCACTTGGACTCATGTGAAAATTGGGCCAAATCCATTTTATCTAACTCACACCATCCTCTTTATTCACAACTCGCCCATTGTATCTCATCAGGCAGAACCAAAAACCTATACAGAAAACTATATTCTCGCACCAGCGAGTACAAAAACTCAACCATACCCTACTTAGCTCGTGTTCCGTGCGATAAAGAAAGCATTAGCCGTGATATCTGTAACTTATTAAATAGTCAGTAGAACAACTGGATCTCGTCTTTCCAACTCATATTATTTATAGGTACAACGTTTTCTTTCTTTTCTGTTATGTGCTGCTTTGTTTCTCTCATCCTTACAAACTCTATTAAAACATTCTTCTTCGTTCTTTCACACTTTGTATATCTCGACCTTTTGTTACCGCTTAGGCCAGTAAATATTCTAGCATCTACTTTTCTAACACCTTCAAAAACTGTTCAATTTTGGCTTTGCTACCGACATGCCAAAATGTTGTTGTCAAATCTAATAGAGATTACCCTTAATCTATGTAGAATTTTATTTATTAATTGTTAATGTACAAACTGGATGCAATACTGCAGTGAAATGCTGAGAATTCCATTCTGTATCACAAGTAATGTTTTGGAATAAAGCAAATTATTATTATTCTTATAACATAAATGCTGGTTTAAATTACATCTAATCGATGCTATTGACAGATTATATTTCAAAAGTATCAGTTAGAGAGAAATAATAAGCATTATTATAGTACTAAACTGCGTATATCAGATATCAACATCAGGCCAGGGTATGAAAAATGGCTAGAGCTGCTTCTTTTGAACACAGAGCTCCGGTTGGCTTAGGCGAATTGCAATGGCCTCTGGTGATTGGATTGTTCGGTATCTAGGGGCCTGTGGTAGATAGTAGAGAAAGACTATTCAGTGGTACCACTGTGGCCTGTTCTAATGTAGAACTTTAAATGGTTTTAACAAAAGCTTTATTTAACCACACTGGTAGATTTTCCCGAGTATAAGCTCCACAAAAGTATTTGAATTTACAGATTTAATTATAGATGGATTCACAACCAGTTTTTTGGAAAATGTAGGCTGTAGACTGCCAGCATTAACCGCGCGTTTTGGATCGATTTTCTCAACTTGTTGATTATTATCTCACTTTGTGTATCACCTGTAAATTGTATTTGGATATGTGGTGTCTTTTTATTGGCAGACACATAAGAATTCTTTTCTACATTCTTGGCTATGTGTTTAGTGGTAAAATTTTTAGGGAAGCTGTTTTCACTTAGCATGTCGTGTACAACTTTAAGTTTGTCTTCAATCGCATCTTCGAAATAAATATCTCTGACCGTATAGCTGAGGATCTTTACCCATTTTCTTTTATACCAGAGAGAATGAAAGCTGTGAAAATGTATGTGATGACAGGTCTAAGTAATTTTCTTATGCAAATTCCTCTTTACGGCTACCGTCTGGTTTTTATGTCAGTAGAATGTCTTAAAAGGCAGCGTTACTTTGGAACTTTTCTTCACACGTGAATTATGATAGTTGAGCGTAACTCACTGAATTGAGATATTATTGCTCATCTGTTCAAACTATCCGTATATCGGCAATAAAACGATAATACCTTGACCAGGTTGTGGAAAGGAGCATTTTCTAATTTACTTAGAAAGAAATCTGCTAAATGGGAACCTAATGTAGTACCCATTGCCACCGCATCTACCTGTCTATAGGATTTTTACTGGGATTCCAATATTTATTTACTTTTTACTTCTTAATTCAAAGATGTAGTTGGTCATTTAATTAGAGGTATATTTGTAAGTAGGGATGTTATGTCCAAAGATTTCATATCATATTTCATTGCATTTGAGCGTTTATGTCCATTTATGCGCCTAACTATTTTGAAGCAGTTCCCAAACCTTCAAATGAACTGTCGTCAGGATTTGACAGAATAGGGCGCCGAGTGAGAAGTAGACATTTGTAAAATTATATTTGTAAAATCTCAGCGAGATTGAAATGAGTAATTCCAACGTTTCGTTCGGCAATCTGGTCCGAACTTCTTCAGGGAAATTAATCGAAATTAACATAACACAGGTTTATATATAAAAGGAACATCACTTGTTTTTAAAATCTTTGCCCCATCATGAGTCATTCAACAAGTATAATAAAAGAAATTTTATGAGCTGTGATCAAAATTTGACCCCGGCCTTACAAATATTGGTCTACCTTTGTTAAACACTTTAAACAGAGTGTGTATGTGTGTGTGGGTAAACAGTTGTAAAACATTTCTTAACGTTTCCATAAGAAGATATGGACAGTCGAGAATGTTGACCAAATATTAATAATTAGTGATACATATCCATTTTTTATTTATTAATAAGGATTTTCTATGCATCAGCTAACATCAAACCTTCATGTCTGTTCACACTGTTAGTATCTAGAATTTTATGATTAGACGTATTTTCAAAATTATGGTGTTTAGGATTGGAGTTTAGTAGAAGCACCCTGTCGGATTCATTGCTTTGTCTTCTTTCTGAAGGTTGAGCTGCTTTATTCGACCTACTGGAGTTGTCAGGTGACTCGATAGCTACAGATTTAGGATATGCATTCTGTTGCAGACAACGGAGGGTGAAAACACGATGATTGTTCCAATTACACAGTTTCTTTGTTAATTTAATTCGATTGCAAAATAATTCAAATGAATCGTCGTCAAGATTTGACAGAATTCATATCCTAAATCCGTAGCTATCGAGTCACCTGATAACTCCAGTAGGTCGAATAAATCAGCTCAATCTTCAGAAAGGAGACAAAGCAATGAATCCGACAGGGTGCTTCTACTAAACTCCAATCCTAAACACCATAATTTTGAAAATACGTCTAATCATAAAATTCTAGATACTAACAGTGTGAACAGACATGAAGGTTTGATGTTAGCTGATGCATAGAAAATCCTTATTAATAAATAAAAAATGGATATGTATCACTAATTATTAATATTTGGTCAACATTCTCGACTGTCCATATCTTCTTATGGAAACGTTAAGAAATGTTTTACAACTGTTTACCCACACACACATACACACTCTGTTTAAAGTGTTTAACAAAGGTAGACCAATATTTGTAAGGCCGGGGTCAAATTTTGATCACAGCTCATAAAATTTCTTTTATTATACTTGTTGAATGACTCATGATGGGGCAAAGATTTTAAAAACAAGTGATGTTCCTTTTATATATAAACCTGTGTTATGTTAATTTCGATTAATTTCCCTGAAGAAGTTCGGACCAGATTGCCGAACGAAACGTTGGAATTACTCATTTCAATCTCGCTGAGATTTCACAAATATAATTTTTTACAAAAGTTCCCAAACAACTCAGAGGTTTATAAAACAGAAAATAATTGAACAAAGAATATCGTTTTCGATAATTTCCTCTTCTGGCTCTACAATTATATACATAACTTTAAATACATATAATATTCTGGGATATTAGTCAATAACAACATTAGTGTTTTTGTAAATAATATCGATTTGCAAAGTAAGATCACTGAAATTGCAGTTCAAGAAAGATTCATAAATTATAATAAAAGTAAAAATACAACAGCAAATAGAAAATCAACTAAAATTAGAGAAATTTCTACGAAAATTGAGGATCATTCGAACCTAGATGACCACGGTAAGGATAATTTCTGAACCAGCTTCTTTTAATACATAAGTTAGGCTTCTTAATGTGGATCCCGACAGCCAGCCTCAGCAATATATAGTAGACGAACTCTTAAGGCGAAGTTAAGATTTGTTGGTATGCGGTAAATGACTTTGAAAGCCTGGTTAACATCAATCTTGTGTTCTTTATCCACAAGATAAGATAGAATAGCGCTACGAATAGATTTTTTTGTCCTCTGCTTAACCACACAGGGTGATGTTCGCAAATCCGACGAGAAACACGCCTAATTGTACGGCCTATGTAACTGGCTCCACAGGAGCAGTTTACAAACTAAATCCCTGAGTATAAAATTTGTTATCGCCTATGATCTGTTATTATTCTGTCATTGTTCTTCATATAGTCATCAGCGTATCTATGGAAACAAGTATAGAAGGTTTTCATCACTATTGAACCTCAAAAATTCGCCAATGGATCAGAGCTGTACGATTGATCTGCACATTATCAGTGAACATTTTGCATCAGAAAATCGATTATCCTTTCCAAATACTTTTTAATTTGTTGATATTATACGGTTGGAGGCAATCGACAGGAAGCCTGCCAGATCTAGGTTTCGTTCTTGTTACCACTCACTAGTTACCAAGGCGTATCTGCAGTCTTGAAGGAAATGATGTCCCTTTTGAGATATAAACCTGCATCACCTAGTGCCGCAGTCACTGAGCTATTCGGGCTCGTGACTGAACTCCTGTGAGACTACTGTATCTGATATTTTTGACTGAACACTAGTTATTAGCTAGTGTAATGTGTCTAGTCCCTTGTTTGCTGCAGACTGAATTCCATCAGTCGAGTCACTACAGTCCTACAGGAGGTCAATTGCAACCCCGAATAGCTCAGTGGTAACGTCTCTGACTGTAGCGCTCACTGGATGACGAGGGTTCGAATCTCAAAAGCGATATAAGTCTCTTCAGGGCTAGAGATACACCTAAGTGACTGGTTATTTTCTACAAACCTGAAACCTAAGTTCAAGGCCAACTACCTCCAACCATCTAATATGAAAAATTCACAGTGCACTGTAATGGCAAGCCACCTAGTGGCATGATGACCACATTGAAAACTTGACTGATGGAAATCACTCTGCAACAAACAAAAGACTACAGACTCTTGACACTAATTACTAACTAGTGTCCAATGAAACCATTTTTAGTTTAAGAAATTTTCAACAATGCAATAATTTTTTTATCTTTCTATTTAAACTTTCTATTTTGTGTTTTAAAATTCAGGTATGGTTTGCAGCCTCTAGCCAAGCTTTCTTCTCGTTGGGTGTTGGTTTCGGTGTACATTTAGCCTATGGAAGTTATAATCAAGTTGATCATCCAGCTTATGTGGATTGTATTTTCACTACTGCAATGAATGCGTTCATTAGTGTCCTGAATAGCATAACTTTATATTCATTTATGGGTTATTTATCAAAGTATCAAAATGTTCCACTTTATCAAACATTTGATGGAAGTGAGTTTATGAATATATTTTTATTTTTGAAATATATGAATTAAAACACAGACTAGGAAATATTGAAACATAAAATATTGAAAATAATGTCTGTGTGTGCTTCTGTGTACAGATAATGCTGCCTTGAAGGCAGTCAGGAGGTAGCTAGACACTGATTCTCATAGAACTAGGAGGCGTCATTTCATTTACAAACGGGGGGGGGGCATGAATGAAGATGTCAAAATCAAAATGTGAGAGGTAAGACAAACCTTCAACACTCTCAAATCAGTGTGGAAATCTACTGCACTAACCATGAAGGACTAATGTCAACTGTCAATCTCAATTTCATTGACTCTGAAAAGGTCTACGACAGCGTCGATCGTGAGGTGATTCAACAACTATTTCGCTACTGCGGGGTGCCGCCAACAATTATACATCTCATCCAACAGTTGTACGGTAATGCTACCCGCCGAGTAATCCACAACGGGAAATTCACGGAGTCCTTCGAAGTGAAGACAGGAGTAAGACACGACTGGATGGATGCCTACTATCTCCAATGATTCTCGTGATTGCATAATGTGACAGACAGTGGCCTTCAACAAGGAGATGGGCATAAAATGGACAAACACAAATTTTGCAGGATCTGGAATTAACCGATGACATATATATGTCTGATCTCCCAAAGGCTGGAAGATATGCAAGTGAAAAGCAACAGGTTGACAGAAGATACATTAACGATAGAAGGGGCTACAGGTGAACGTAGAAAAAACAGAGGTGATGAAGATTCCTGGCCAACAGCAACAAAAACAGACAACAATCAGAATAAGTTGGAGAAATCTGAAAGAAGCAACCTCCTTCAACTATCTACCTGGGAAGAATCGTTTCAACTACAGGCGGATGGAACTGATGAGGATATCAAAGCAGCGAGGATCGGGAAAGCAAGGCAAGCTTTCATTACTCTCACGTTTTTGTGGAGAGCGACAGCACTCAGCATGAATAATAAAATCTAAATTTCCAACTGTAATGTGAAGTTAGTGCTACTTACAGTACGGGTCAAAGACTTGGTACCACGTCACGAATGTCATTTCAAATAAACTACAGACCTCCATCAACAGCTGTCTTCACTCAATACTACGCAAGCACAGATGTCCGGTCAGAAAAGACCAGCAACAGTGAGGGATCACTGGAAGCGAAACAAACCCAGCAGAAACCAATTGTGCAACAAATATGCAGGAAGAAATGGAGTTAAGTGGATTGACCATACTCTGAGAAAACAAACCATCAAGTGAGTGGCGTCACACGCCAGGCCATCGCTCGAGTGGAACCTGGCCGAATGGGAACCGGCGGGTTGATAGTCAGTGTGAGGTTGACATGGAGGATATGATGTGAAGAGGAGATTAAAACATATGGGCAGACGTGGAGCCAGGTGAAAACGTAGGCAGAGAACCGAACGCAATGGAGGCGTGCGGCTGGATCCCTATGTTCCTCTATGAACTAAAGAAAACAATAATAATATAATAATAATGTCAAATCAATTTTGCTATATGTTCCAGAGACTTGGCAAATGTATCACCGACAGCATTGTCAACAGGCTAGGACATACTTTAATCAATGACTGCGTTTACTCAATACTGAAGATTAGATGACCAACCGGTAAAAGTTAACAGTAAGCAATTCTAGCAACAAACCGACTAAGAACCATTCGAACAACAAGTATGTTGAAGTCAAATAGAAATGAATTGGGCATAAATTGTGGAGACCGGTGAGTGACATCGCATGCCAGACTGTTCCTCAAATAGAACCTAAATGAAAAACGACGAGTCTGAATGAACGTTCGAAAGTGATACTAGGGAGATCATGTGAGGATGAGATAAAAACTTGTGGGTATTCGTGGAGATGTGGAGAGAAAACAGGGAAATGGAAATGTGTGGTTGAAGTCCTATGTTCTCCCTGGAAAGCAAAAGGATAATAGTAATAGTATTCCAGTAGTAGATCATAAGTTTACACATGGTTCTGAATGTAAAGTGGATAACACACACATTGTGTTCCAATCTGAAAATATCCATAATTTTTTCACACACATAAGCTGATTAATAGATCAGATACAGTTCACTTTTATGGTGCTTTGTAAATCATCCACTTATTAACAATGAATCACTGTGTATAAATTACCCTAAATTTATTTGATATGCCATTTATTCTGCCTTATTGCGGTAATTCAACTCTTATATACATGAATTTGTCGTTATTTACTGTAATGAATGAGTCCAACTTCTCACTTTCTCTCGGTGTTGTTTTTAGGGAAGACTAGATGAAATTTAGTCTGATGGAACGCCTTTAAATCTCAGTGCTAAGTTGCTTTAGAATGTATAAGTTTTATGAATCAGATTAACGACTAATTAACTTGAAACGAGTTGAAACGTAGCTGAACTGTGCTCTGGAACTGTCTGTTAGACAGAGGTGTACCTGAGAAATTTGTTAACATCTTGAAAGCCCAATACAGAAACACCTCATGTAGAGTGAGGGCATACAACCAACTATCATCACTGTTCCCAACCAACAGTGGGGTTAGACAGGGTTGCCCAATATCTCCATTTCTCTTTAGCTTTGCCATCGATGACATTCTGGAGTAGATCTGCTACCTGGAGATAGACTTTTCGACCTCGAGTATGCAGACGACATCATCTTACTGTGCGATAGCATGCAGGCCATTATCGTCCCCACCTTTAAAAAGGGTCGACGTAATTCGTGTGACAATCATAGAAGTATCAGTCTGCTACCAGTTGCGTCTAAAATATTGGCTGTTGTCTTGCTCCGCAGGCTGTGCTAAACATGTGGAGGATTGGTTCACGAAGAGAAGGCTGTGTTTCGTTCAGGTCGTGGATGCATTGATCATGTGTTCACCCTTCGTCAGTTGTTGGAACACCGCCATACGTATTGCAGGCCAACGATCGTTGTGTTTCTTGATATTAGGTCTGCCAGGTCTCCAAGAACTGTGCTCTGGGATTGTCTGTTAGAGAGAGGTGTACCTGAGAAATTTGTTAACATCTTGAAAGCATAATACAGAAACACCTCAGATAGAGTAGAGTGAGGGCATTCAACCAACTATCATCACTGTTCCCAACCAACAGTGGGGTTAGACAGGGTTGCCCAATCTCTCCATTTCTCTTTAACTTTGCCATCGATGTTATTCAGAGTCAGCTCTGAAGGATGTGTGTGAAGATGGTGCAGATCTGTTACCTGGAGATAGGCTTTTCGACCTCGAGTATGCAGACGATATAGTCTTTCTGTGCGATAGCATGCAGGCTGCCCGAATCGCACTTACTCAGTTGGCGATCACTGTCTGTAAGTATGGTATATGTTTTGCACCGTCTAAGTGCAAAGTACTGTTACAAGATTGGCAGGAGCCTTTACCTGCACTCACTCTTGTGGGTGAACCGCTTGAAGTTGTTAATAAGTTTGTGTATCTGGACGGATGAGATTTCCAACCGTATAATGAAGGCTAGGGTGGCATACATCAACTTGAGCCACCTCTGGCGCCGTCGCGACGTTAGCCTGGCTGTCAAAGATCAGGTATGCAATCCTTCGGTGCGGGCTATCTTGCTCTACACCTGTGAAACCTGGCCTCTCCGAGCTAAGGATGTGCGGCGGCTCTGTGTGTTCGATCATCGCTGTCTCCGCAGGACTGCTTGCGTTCGATGGTATCATCGCGTGAGTAATTCTGAGGTTCGCTGGCGTGTTTTTGAACACAGTGGACATCACTATTCATTGAGCGTCGTAATCTGGAAACACCGGCTCCAGTGGCTTAAACATGTGCTGCGAATGTCATCCCAGAGGCTTCCGCACTGGTCTCTGTTCGCTAGCCCTGGGACGGGATAGAAAAGGCGGAGGGGTGGTCAGTCCATGACGTGGCGTCTTCGGATGAAGAATGTTTGTGCTAGATTAGCATCAGTTGATGCGTCATAACTCCCTGGTTGGGGTCCGCGAGATAGCCCGAATCGATGGCTCGAAACGTTATCGGATATGGCCAAGAATAGTAATCAATGGCGAACGTGTCGCAATTTCCTTCTTTCTTTCCTTCCTGATCATAGCTGACGAATACTGTTTGAACTTGTTAAGTATGACTGTTTTCCTTCTAGATGAAGTTCTTTATCCGTTTTCTACTTATATTTTTACTCATAATCTATGTTGTTTTATTATTACTGTGTGGCGCATCTTTCTTGGTGCCATATTGTACCAGGTTTTTTCTACGTTTAAATAATAATAATGAAACGTAGTTACGTTGTCTTCATTGAATATTTAAAAAAACACGGACATTTTCATTTCTGGGCTTCTTTGATTGAATACTAGTCAGTAACTAGCGTTACGTGACTATCGCTTTGTCTTGGTATAGACTGAGTTCTACTAGCCAAGTCTGCAAACTAATCACCACATCAGGTGGCTCACCCCCACGGTCTGTTGTGAATTGTTGGTGTTAGATGGTTGGAGACAGTCAACAAGAAGCTTTTGACCTAACAAAGGACTAGACACTTCACACTAGTTAATAACTAGTGTCCAGTCAAAGTATCCAATACACTCAGTTCTACAGGAAGTCAGTCGCGATCCCGAATAACTCAGTAGTAACGTCTCTGACTGCAGCGTTCACAGGGTGACACAGTTTCAAATCTCAGAAGGGATATGAGTTCTTTGAAGATTGTAGATATGCCTTGCTGACTGGTGAGTGTCTACAAACACGAAACCTATTCCAAAGGCTTCTTGCCGACTACCTCCAACCATCTAATAATCGACTTCTCATTATTTCATTTCACTGCTTATACTACGCACAGTCTGACTGGAACTACAAATTTATTTTTCTTGAGGTAATCTAAGATCTTCATTTGCAATGTTTGTACCATCAGACAAGGTATAAACTCAAAGTAGGCTAGGCAACGCGGACACGAAATATTCAGAGTAAATGATTACAAAGCCAAACGAGTAGGCTGAAAATGTGGACTGGCAACACACACACAATGAATGATTAA